AATCACTCCAAATTTTTATTACATTTTCTAATAGATATTGATGTCCTTATGCTGTGTAGAAAGTTTGAGCTGATTCTGACTTGAATTTTTTGAGTTACGGCCATTTTAAGAAAATGCCAAAATTCTGAAAAATACCCAAGGCTATAGTCCATGGTTTTTTCCAAAAAATGGCTCCGAAATCACCCCAAATTTTTATTACATTTTCTGATACATATTGATGTCCTTATGCTGTGTAGCAAGTTTGAGCTAATTCCGACTTCAATTTTTCAAGTTACGACCATTTCAAAAATGTAGCAAATTTGCAGTAAGTTAATTTTTTGGTTAAAAGCTTTCACTGTTGCACGTCAATTCACCAAAATTTTACTCCACCATTTTTTCTAGCTACACTGCATAAACTCACTGCTAATGGGGACAGCTGGAGATTCAGTTTAGTCTTAAAATCCCATTCAATGTCAGCGTGTCTCTAATTAAAGAGCACCAAGCAGTAATTCATTATAATAAAGGTGGTTCATGACTCACGGATAATTTAAAAAGATAATTAATAATAATTAGCTGCTGCTCCTGAGGAACTGAACAATAGTTTAATATTTTATTAATGAGTGAGGTGTGGTTGATTCTAATATACACTTGATTAATCTGTCAATTAATAATAATAATAATAATAATAAATAAATCGATAATTAATTACTTGTAAATCTGACAGTATTTCTGTTACAATGGATATCAATTCGCATTCATAAATTAACCTGTAAATAAAGGACACACCCATTAATTAATACATGGCCACACCCACTAATTAATCAATATTCATACATACTTATTACTTCTTGCTGAGTGAGTGGGCGTAATAGTAGGTGTGGCAGTGGGTGGGGACACAATGTCAAATATAAATTGACGTCTTTCCTTTGGGTGTGTCCCTGGTAGCCGTGACAACTGATAACCTTTGAATAATTCATATCTATCAATTAATTAATTAATAATTAATAAAATACATGTACATGTATACCTCTTGAGGTAAGTGATATCGTGTTGCAAAACATAACGAGAAAATGACAACTGAAATAAATTAATAATTATTATTAATATTTATTTATTGCTGATCCTACCCAGTGATGCTGTGGTAATGTTATTATTTTTCCTGTTGATTCCAGCAGCTGGACTGTTCCCTCCAGTCCAACCAAGGACTCAGTCATTGGCTCAAGAAAAGGAACATTAACACACAAACCACCTGACAACAACAAACAAACAAACAAACAATCAATAATAACAACAACAACAACAACATGATGACTAACAGTGTTTATTGAATACTGATTCAGTCACATTCCACACAAACTGCTGTAATAGGAAATATGTAGGACTGAAGGAGGATTTATTGACCTATAGTGAGTGAATGAATCTTTATTACAGCTCTCAATATTAAGGTTCTCATGCCTCACCTTATCCAGGTCAAGGCTTGAATGCTCGGAGAAGAAAGACATTTCAAAAAGTTTTGAGTTCTCTTGAGAGAAGAGTTTCTCCATTAGCCTCTTGTACTGGGAGGAGTTGGGATTCTGTAGAGTGTGTTCAACAGCCTGAGGGAGGGAGAGAGGGAGGGAGGGAGGGGAAGGGAATACACATGTAGGTACATGTATAATTTAAATTATTGGTTACTTCTTGCAGCTGCTCCTCCTCGATCTGTCTTGGTACGTGTGAACTGTTCAATAACTGGGCACTGGTTGGTCTCTCAGCTGGACTATGGTTTAAT